TCCCTGTCAGATTCTCTGATTATTTCCTACTTGTAAACAGTTTACCCTCTCTCTCTCTCTCTCTCCCCCCCCCCCTGCCTGCTGGATCTTGTCAATCCAAGGAAATAATAACCATTTTCTTGTTACCAGCAGTTGCTACACACAGTCTACAGTACTAAACTATGTGAGTTTACAATTTACATTACAGCTGAGCTGCTCCCCGAGACTCGACATGATGCATGGTTGGAGGGAGCTGGCTAGCAGAAGTCACAACCATGATACCATTCGGCCACACTTCCTTTTTTCTAAAAAAAAAGAAAAAAGGATGGAAATGATCGGTTACAGCTCATTTTCATGTCTTGGATGAGCGAGCTGCCCCGGAAAGAGAGACAGGCAAAGATGCTCCACTGAATCAGATCAATCCCCAGTCCCCACATTCGAGCCGTGGCAATGATTCACAGGGACGGAGGACTACTTGATTGCAAACTGGTATATACTCCCTCCGTCCAAAAAAGAATATGATTATAGGATTCGTGCCAGTCAAAGTAGCTCAAGTTTGATCAAATTTATAACAAATAGTATTAATTTTTATGTCTTCAAATAAATTTATTATGAAAATATATTCTATAACTAGTGTAATAATACTAATTTTGTATTACGAATGTTCGTATTTTTTTATATAATTTTGGTCAAAGTTCTCGAGAAGCGAGAATTGCAAGTGCCGTGGTATCTGTGAAAGCCATTGAACCGTTCAGTAGTCAAATCTGAAATCAAAGCGATATACTAGCAGTATATGAAAGTAAAGCACTATGCAAGTGCCATGGCTTGCCAAGGTTGACGAGCCTGTAGCAGTCAAATCTGAAATCAAAGCGATATACTAGCAGTATATGAAAGTAAAGCGATATATCGTTCACGCCTGCCTGCTGAGTTTACCTGTTTCATTGGCAGATGGTCCACTAGAATTGCTTCAGTACTACTCTGGCACTCTGCTACTGAATACTGATAATAAAAGGGAATCCAGCCAGCCATCGATCTCTTTGTTTACTTGAATTCTTGAAATGCATGCGTGAAAATTTGCTAGCTTTTTTGGTTTGTGCAGGTCGAGTGGCCAATGCCCAATAGTGCTCCGTCCATTATCTGATCAAGCTAAGCACAGTGAGTGACCCATCAGTGCTGCTCAGGCTGTGTTTAGTTGTAGGAATCTAGATTTTGGGGCTACTGTAGTACGTTCGTTTTTATTTGATAAATAGTGTTCAAACATGGACTAATTAGGCTCAAAATATTCGTCTCTCAGTTTCCCATCAAACTGTGCAATTAGTTTTTCTTTTTGTCTATATTTAATACTCCATGCACGGGCCGCAAACATTCGATGTGACAGGTACTGTAGCAAATTTTTTGGAAGTTTGTGTGGAATTAAACAAGGCTCAGCTAGCCCCCCTGTACTGCTGCAGGCTGTTTCTGGTTCTAGTTTATTAGAGCAGGAGTGCCGCAGGGTATAGTGCGCATGCATAATGCATTTGTTGGGGTTTTATTGGTTAAAGCAGCATTGTCAGCTCACTGCACTAGCTAGCTAGATGCTATATCTATAGTATACTCCTCCGATCCTATACGCAAATGCAACAGATGGAAACGCTGGACACTTTATTATTTGCAGTCGCTTCTTTTCCGGCAGCAGGCAGGTCGTCAATGTGAACAACCAAAGAGGTCGGCCACTTGCAAAGCTGCTAGCTGCTACTGACTATTTCGATCGTGGGAGCACTTTTTGCTGGTTTTTGGCCGCACAAACAATAATAATCCACCGTACGTCTAGGTCTGCCTATCCGATCCCGGCCGGATAGAGCGACAGATCTTGCTTGCGCACTGTGTCTATAGATCAGATCAGGTATACTCTTGTATGCGTCCGTGTCTGTTCGTGCAGGGGAAGTTCAGTTCATTTGGCCATCCTTGTTGTTGGGTACTCGTACTCCTAGCTACCGTCCTAAAGCAGGATACGATAGACAGAGTAGCTAGGTGACAGGATAAACACGCACGATGGTCAGTATGCAATTCTGTAAACAGATGGTGGTCGGCATGCGCATCAATGCATGCATGTAGGTAGTGGCAGGTCAGAACTGAGTGGCCGGCGGCCGGCCGGTCTCTCAAATGGTGGCCGGCATCTGTACATCCATCATCCAAATATCCTGTTATGCGTCGATCGGCTTGTGCAGTTCTTTGCGGACCAAAGTTTGGTCACTACTTGTGTGTTTGACGGCAGGTGTAGAGGTACACGTTTGGCCATGCATCATTTGACCGTGTCTGGTTATTTTTCATGCATCCATGACTCGATCGTCCATCAACAATACTCCTACGCTAGGAGTATAGGAGTATGTATGTTGAGGCTTCAGACAGAGTCAGTTTTTTTTTTCGGTACGCGCAGGCATTAGCTAGCTGCACATGCTTTCAACGCCTGGCGTGGGCGTGGCTAGCTAGGAACTACTCCTAGGATCGGACTACTAGGTCACTAGGACGACGCGGTTGCCATCGAGTGACCAATTGACCATGACAGCGACCATACAAAAGCGCAGCATCCAGCCAGTGGCATCAGGTAGGAGTACGCCCGTATTCAGTTCCCAACCAAAATCCTAAAAAGTGCAGTATCCATCACATCGAATCTTGCGATACGTAAAAAACTAATTACACAGTTTGGTTAGAAATTGTGAGACGAACGTTTTGAGCCTAATTAGTCCATGATTGAACACTAATTGACAAATAAAAACGAAAGTGCTACAGTAGCCTACATTCCAAACTTCAACCAACTAAACACGCGCTACGTGTATGACGGTGTTGTTCAGAAACACAAGGTAGCAGGCTCTTTAGATCTAGCAGTACACACCGTACCTGCAACTGCAATAGTATTGTACATTTGTACTAGTAGTTCCCGGAACAGAAACAGGTGGCAGCATAGCTGCATGCATGCGCCATGCGGTGCAGGTCCCTGTCTCTTCTAGCTCTTGCCTGTTCCCTTGTTCATATATAATGTTAAAATAATATATATTATTTTACACTAAATTAATCAGTAATAAATAATGCACGATCATTTACGGGCTGCCGACGGTCACGGGCACACGGCACGAGCCGAGGCTGAGTGTGACCATTGATCGATGACTGAGTCGTGCATGCCAGCCTACGCCTATGACTATGCCTATGCCTATGCCTGTGTAGCTAGTCTGCGCTCAACACTGCATGCAGGCTAGATGTAGAAGGGGAAGACAATGGCTAGTCTGCGCTCTACACTGCATGCCAGCCTATGCGAAGGGGAAGACAATGGCTAGTAGAGGAGAAGAGGAGGGGGTGCCGGCTAGATGTCGGCCGCTTGTAGCTAGATCTTGGCCACCCTTAACCTCGCCGACGGAGAAGGGGAGGGTGACGCTGGTGCAGGAGAAGCAGTGGGCGGCTCTGGTGGAGTAAAGGAGAGAGAGGATGCCGAGACGAGAATAGGAGGGGGGCGAGCAGATGCCCAGCCTTGCCTAGTGGGTGGGGTCGTAGGACTAGAACGAGACACACTCCGTGTGCTAAAGCAACACTTTTTGAGACGGAGGGAGTATAGTAGTATGCATGATACAACATGAGTTACGGTTGTCGAGAACAGCTCTAGGCCTGGAATCTGGTCATTCGGTGGATGCACCGGAACAGCTGCTACTCTCTAGCTCCGCCTTGAGCCATTTATTACTGTTTTTAGTAAAATAAAAAGGAGACGAAACGGTTTTGGACGAGCCAGAGGAGATGTAGCTCCTCTAAAATGGATCTAGCTTCTCCAAAGGAGCTCTTAGGGAGAAACCCTATCAAACAAGGCCTAAGCCTAGAAAGGCACAACTACTACTCTTTAACTTCCATAACTATAAATTGAGGTCGTACTTGTTAATCGGGCCACACACGATATAAATTACGTTATTTACGATAAAACACATACATGGTTACAGACTATGCACCTAACATGTGGGCCCACACGTCATCCCTCTTTCATCTCCTGCTCACTCCTTCCTATGCGGCCCACATGTCGTTGATCTCTATCATATCCTTCCCACTCCCTCCCATGCGGTTGTGCCTATATTAAGGCCCTATTTGGTGCTGCTCTGGCTCCGATTCCGATGGCCTTCCCACTCCCTCCCATGTGGTCGTGCCTATATTAAGGCCCTATGTTGGTGCCGCTCTGGCTCCGGTTCCGAGCTCTGGCACCGGAGCCAGAAGAGCAACACCAAACATAGCCATGAGGAGAAGCACTTTCAGGTGTCCAGTAGAGGAGCCAGAGCCATTTTAGCCGTGCGGACGTGGAGCCACATTTTGGTGCTCCGGTCTCTCAGCTCCATCTGTGGAGCAGTGCACGAGAAGCTGTGCAAAATGACTTATAAGACAATGCTTCCTGACCTTATTCGAGGAAAATACGCATAACACTATACAACAAGGTCCTACCAGAGTGTGAATTTGCCAACGCCAAGAGCCAAGGGCGATGAGCCCGACCCACCCATGGCCAAGCTCAGTAGGATATACTACATATGGATACATAATTTTGTTAGTCTATATTATATGGAAATATAATTTATTGAAACTAATTTTTTTTGATAATGTAGAAGTTTATTTTTACATAGAAGTTGGACTTAGTACCAGTAACGAAGAGTCCAAGGGAGAAACTTTGAGGCACATGACCTGGGCAAAGGCCCAGCTAATGGTCGTTGGTGGGCTCATCTTGGTCAAAGGCCCACCTAATGGTCGTTGGTGGGCTGCTTATACGGCCCATTACAGAACTCGGAAGCACTATTCGCTCGGAATCGTATACACAACTGCTTCGCTATGATTCCTGAATCCGAGTCCGAGTGGCCCGCGAACTGGACACCGACTCGACCAGTACCTGCAGCTAACCAGGGCACAGCACAGGAGATATAAGCATCCAACGCCCTCCGTCCATCCATCCATCCGTCCCTCCGTCCTAGGTTTAGGTTTGCGCTGTTCTCCACCAGCCCTAGCAGCTGGCCGCTGACGAAGCCATGGACATGGCCCTGACCGCTGACGAAGCCATGGAGATGGAGCGCTTCCTGACCTTCACCATCGACAATGGGGTGGATTGGGCGCAGTCCGCTGACGGCTCTTTGATCTGGCTTCCTCAGCTTCTATCCGGGCAGCACAATTTGGAAGAAGAAGAAGATGAAGCGGCAGAGTTTTTCGACCGAGCCAGCGACGACGACGGCCAAGACGACGTCGACGACGACGGCGTGGCGTACCAGTCTGACCCGCAGTTTGGTTACCCAACCGAGGAGACCGTTCAGGGTCAGGGCAACAACTACATCAACACCGTGGTGATTCTCAATCTCCTGGCTGTTATAAACTGTGGATCATCTAGCAGTCGGTCTAGAGGGTAGACATCAAGAGCGGTAGACTACAGCAACGATGTAGACCTAGAAAGCTATCTAGAGGAAGGAGAAGGTGTCGAACCTGAGCCTCCAGATGATGTCGCGGTTGTGCCAGCCATCGCGGGTTCGGTGATGGAGGCAGCACACGGGCAGCGACGGGTGGAGTAGAGGTTGCACGGACGTCGATGCAGTGCGGTCGGGCGTAGCAGTGGCGACGACGAGGATCAGTGGAGCTTCCCGTCGCTGGCTGCGCGCCCTCTCGAGATCGGTCTAGGGTTTTGTCGGTGGGTTTGCGGCTCACGGTGAACCTCGTACTTTGAGCCGCCGGCCCCCACCTCTTTATATAGCGCAGTGCGACGGGGGCCCACCAACCATGTAGGGTTGGGCGCCCCCGATCAGGGCGCGAGACCAAGGCCCAATAGGCCGTTGGGCTTATTGGTCAGGAGATCAATCTAACATTCTCCCCCTTGATCTCACTATTACTTTTATCTTTAAACTTTAAAACTTCAATCCTTTTATCCTTACTCATTTCTTCACAGATGATGCATAGAGCATGTCTCATCGTCACGGTCAATCGCCGATAGATTTAACAGCTACAATGCACGTCTCTGATCTGAAATAGTTACTTTAACTTTTGGGCCCTTTATAGTCCAGGAATCATAGGCTTTCCCTTAAACCCATGCCGGCTACATGTTCTCTGAACACGTTGGGCGATAAGCCTTTTGTAAGCGGATCCGTGAGCATCTTTTTTCGGTACTTATATGCTCAAGACTTATCATTTGATCCCGGACTTTATCCTTCACAACATAATACTTTATGTCAATGTGTTTGCGGCACCACTTGATCTATTGTTGTGAGCATCTTGTCATCTTTGGATTATTATCGCAAAGATAACCTCGATGGTCTATTGATGTCGTCAACCACCTTCAAACCGGGTATGAACTTCTTTAGCAGTTCACTGCCCGTTGCCTCGTAACACGCTACAAACTCGGCATACATTGTGGGACGATGTAGTGACGGTTTGCTTTGAGCTTTTCCATGAAATAGCTCCCCTGAGAGTGAACACATATCCGCACGTGGATTTTCTATTATCTCCCGCATAATCGAATCTGAATATCCCACTATATGAAGTGAATCGGATCTTCTATATGTCATCATGAGGCCTTTCGTTTCCTTGCAAATAACGCAAGACTTTCTTTACCAATTTCGTGTTCTATTCCAGGATTGCTCTGGAATCTGCCAAATAACCCGGTAACAAATGCCAAGTCAGGGCGCGTACACACTTGAGCATATTGCAAGCTTCCGACAGCTGAAGCATATGGAACCACTTTCATTTGATCGATCTCATATTGGTTCTGGGGCATTGAAAATCCCCATATCTCGTCGCCCTTGACTATAGGAGCAGGTGAGGGACTACATTTGTGCATCTTGAATTTCTTTAAGACTTTTCTATGTATGCCTTTTGTGACAGTTCTAATACCCTTTACTTCTATCTCGGTGAATCTCGATCCCTAGAACGAGCGAAGCTTCACCAAGATCTTTCATATCAAACTTTGAGGACAAAACTTCTTTGTTTTCAGAGTAGGTGACATCACTACTAGCAAGTAAGATATCATCCACATACAGGACAAGGAAGATAAACTTCCCATTCTTAAACTTTGCGTGAGACACAATTGTCCTCAACATTATCTTTAAACCCAAAATTCTTTATTATGCGATCAAACTTCAAGTACCACTTGTCTTGAAGCTTGTTTTAATCCATAAATGGATTTCTTTAGGCGGCATCCCAAACGTTCTTTTCCTTCTATGACAAAACCTTTTGGTTGTGCCATATAAACATTTTCTTCTAAGTCTCCGTTGAGAAATGCCGTCTTTACATCCATCGATGTAATTCCAAATCGTAATGTGCCACTAATGCCATTATGATTACGAAGGAATCCTTACACGAGGACCGGAGAAAAGTCTCATTGTAATCAATCCCTTCTCTTTGTGTAAAGCCTTTTGCCACAAGTCGGGCTTTATATCTTTCTATATTCCCTTGAGAGTCAAGTTTTGTTTTGTAGACCCATTTACTGACCCTCTTGTTTTGGCTCCTTTAGGAATTATCTCCAAATCCCAAACTTTATTTGCATTCATTGATCTCATCTCATCTTCCATGGCCTCAAGCCACTTTGATGAATGATCACTTTTCATGGCTTCTTCAAATGAGGTGGGATCATCCCCATTTGAAATTCTTTGAGTGTTGTACACTTCATAATCAGCAGAAATAGCTGATTTTCTAACTCTTTGAGACCTTCTAGGGGCCTCCTCAATTGGCACATTTTACATTTGAGGTTGTTGTTGCTGCTCCCCCCTCATGTGTGGCAATAGGTTCTATAGGATCTGAGCCACGGGTTCCTCATCATCATTCATTGTTGCCACAAAGGGATAACAACAGTCTTTGGCACCACGTTGTCTTGTATCTTGTTGGTGCAGCAACAGCAGGTAGTGAGAAAAATGGCTCATGAATGATCGGAGTGGGTGCATACACCCGCTTCTCTTCAAGGTCAATTTCTCGAGCTACCATGCTCCCCCTAATCATTTCATCCTCTAGGAAGACAAGCATGTCTCGTTTCCACAAACTTTGTATGTCTGTTAGGGACAAAGAGAAACGAAAACCTTTTGACTTTTCTGGGTAGCCAATGAAATGGCAACTCACTGTTTTGGGATCTAGCTTCCCAATGTTTGGGTTAAAAACTTTAGCCTCAGCAGGGCTCCCCCACACACGCAAGTGGTTAAGTGATGGTACTCTTCCTGTCCACAACTCATACGGTGTTTTGGGCACCGACTTACTTGGTACTCTATTGAGAATATGAATGGCGGTTTTTAACGCCTCCATCCACAGACTCGTGGGTAAAGTGGAGTAACTTATCATACTACGCACCATATCCATCAAGGTACGGTTACGCCTTTCAGCTACTCCATTCTGCTGAGGTTCGCCCGGCGTTGAATACTGGGCGACTATACCATTCTCCTGTAAGAACCTTGCAAAAGGTCCAGGAACTTGTCCATATGGGGTATGCCGACCGTAGTACTCTCCTCCACGGTCAGACCTGACTATCTTAATCTTTAAATCATGCTGATTTTCAACTTCTGCTTTAAATATTTTAAATTTATCCAACGCTTCTGTTCTTTCTTTAATTGGATAAATGTAGCCAAACCGAGAGTAATCGTCTGTGAATGTTATGAATGAATCATAACCATCCACACTTTTCACAGGAAAAGGACCACATATGTCTGTGTGAATAATCTGTAGAATTCCTGCGCTTCGTTTGGCATCTTTCTTAATTTTCTTTACATACTTTCCTTTTATGCAATCTCTACATTGTTCTAACTCTGAGAGCTCTAATGGAGGAAGAATATCATTCTTAACTAGTCTTTCTATTCTCCCCCTCGAAATATGGCCTAAACGACAGTGCCATAATTTCGACAACGCATCTTGAGCTCTCTTTCGTTTTCTGTTTCCATTGTTCGATGAGGATACATTTTCATTCACATCACATACGGAATTAACATTTTCACGAAGTGATAACAAATAAAGCTCGTCTTGTCGGAAGGCAAGACCAATACATTTATTATTAAACAATATCTGACATTTGCCATTTCCAAAATGGCAATCATAACCATCATGGTCCAACTTTGAAACACTAATCAAATTTCTTTGCAAAGAAGGTACATAAAGAACATCTCTAAGAATAATTATGAAGCCATCAGCAAGCTCTAACGGAAGATCTGCTTGGCCTCAACATCTGCTTGTTCTCCATTTGCTACTTTAATGAAACTTTCGCTTCTTTGCAAAGTTCTCATCGAACGGAATCCCTGTAATGAATTAGCAACATGAATAGTTGCACCTGAATCAATCCACCAAGTAGATTTTGAAAACTTTACATACAAGGATTCATTTACGAACGTAATAATGTTCTCACCTTTATTCTTCATAATCATCTTTAAGAAATCAGGACAATTCTTTTTATAATGCCCCTGTCTCTTTGCAAAGTGGAGACACCGGTCTTTAGCCACCGGGAATTCTTTGGTTCGAGAGACTGCTGCATGGGACCTTTTCAGATGATTTGGAGGAAGAACTATTATTATAGTTCTTTTTCTTATCTTTTAGGTAGTTGACAGAACCACCTTGTGAAACTTTTATTCTTTCCTCCTCCTGCACACACATGGCTATGAGCTTTTCCAAATCCCATTTTTCAGGCTGTATGTTGTAATTAACAACAAATGTGTCAAATTCTTTGGGCAAAGAAGCAAAAATCAAATGAATAAGAAACTCATCCTTGAGTGCCAAATCCATTGGTTTGAGCTTAGATGCCAGATTGCTCATTCTCAGTATGTGCTCTCTAATGCCACTGCCGCCACCAGTATTTTTTTCGTGACGGTATTTGCTTGATCAGCTGGGTTGCATATGTCTTTGAAGAGCCAGTGAACTGACTCTTTATTCTGTCTAGGTACTCTGTGACCGTGTCACAGTCTGGAATTGAGCCCACTATAGCAGGCTCAATCGTGTTCTTTATCACTGCCAGACACTTCTTGTTGGCAGTGACCCATTTCCTATGCTCAAGGTCATAGGACATTTTTACGGGAGCAAAATCCCGCTCTCTGTTCTGCCATGCAGTATCAGTCTCATCTGTTTCCCTCACCGGTGCCTCAGGTTCTTTAGGGCACGGTGTGGTGACAACCCAGTCAACCTCAGCGAGGATAAAGGCCAGGTCTATCTTTTTCTTCCACTCAATATAGTTATCACCTTTTAGAGTGGGGATTTCTTTGATACAACTCATCAAGTTGTATCCTCCTGAAAACATAATTCAAATAGGGTGAGAACAGAAATAACAATAATTGCATGCCTTAGTTTAACGTTGGTCAAAATTAAAACATACAATTATTTTCTACACTAATTCTACATCACCGTTGGGCAGAAATAGAATTAATGTATGACAAAACATTATAATATTGTCATTAATCAACGTTGGTCAAAATAACAACAACATTATAATCAATTTAAAACATATCCATTTTCAAAATTAAATTCTCCCGTTGGTTCGAATTTAATAATGAAAATTACATCTTTAAATACGCAGCGGAAACTTTAACATTTAATAATCTTTTCCTATTTTCCAGAAGCAAATTTACTATTTACTGAACAAAAAATATCGTTGGATAAATTTTGTACAGAAAATTATCATAAAAATCAATTCAAATCGATCAAACTGTTTTCTGGAAAATAAGAAAAAACAAAAACTGTTACTTTACTGTTTACTTGGCCATTTCGGCCCAGCCAGCACACGCGCGGCCCACCAAAATTCGGCCCATGGCCTTTTCTCGCGCGCGCGCGCCAGCCAGCACACCCGGCCCAGCGGCTTGCGGCCCAGCCGCGCGCTCCAGCGCTCCCCCGCGCCCAGGCCGCAACCTGGGCCTGGGCCGGGAATTCGGCCGCGCATCCATTCCCGCCTGGGCCTAAAGCCGGTCCGGCAAATCCTAATCGCTGGATCGGATCGGACGGCTGTCCGGCCATTTCGCCCGAACAAAACCCCCCGGCCGGCGCTTCTCCCTGAACCCTAGGTTCATTCGGCTTCGCTCTCTCTCTCTCTTCGCCCCTCTCTCTTCTCCACTCAGTCCCGCCGCAGCAGAAACCGAGCGAGAAGCTTCGACGGCGAGAGAGCTCAGCAAGCCCCGGCGCCGTCTCCGGCCCCCTCGCCGGCGTGCGCGCTCCCCAGTGGGTGAACGCGCCGCCGTCGAGCGGCCTGGTCGCGGCGCCCTAGTGGCCGTTCCGGCGAGCAGATCACCCCCGGCCGACCCTTTCTTTTCCCCGCGCGGCGGCATGCACGACGGTGAGGTGAGCCGTGCCGAGCCACCCTCTTTCTTTTCTTTCCCCTTTCTATTTCTTTGATTCGGATTTGGCCCGATTTTCAGATTAGGGTTAGGGTTAGGGTTAGGGTTAGGGACGGCACTGTTATTCTTTTTCCCCGAATCACCTTCGGGTTTAATTCGGCTTCCAGTTTCATCTCTATCCCAAAAACTCGATCTAGGGTTTGGATGTTCGGTTCTTCACTTTTCCCGAACCGTCATGTTTTCTCAGATCCGACGGATCGAGTTTAGGGTTCAACCGAACGTCGGCCGACCCTTTTCTACTTAGATCCGCACTGGATCTCTTCATCTTTTTCTTTTCTAATCAGTACCCGTTCTAGATCTACGTGCTAGTAGGCTCTGGTACCATTGTTATAAACTGTGGATCATCTAGCAGTCGGTCTAGAGGGTAGACATCAAGAGCGGTAGACTACAGCAACGATGTAGACCTAGAAAGCTATCTAGAGGAAGGAGAAGGTGTCGAACCTGAGCCTCCAGATGATGTCGCGGTTGTGCCAGCCATCGCGGGTTCGGTGATGGAGGCAGCACACGGGCAGCGACGGGTGGAGTAGAGGTTGCACGGACGTCGATGCAGTGCGGTCGGGCGTAGCAGTGGCGACGACGAGGATCAGTGGAGCTTCCCGTCGCTGGCTGCGCGCCCTCTCGAGATCGGTCTAGGGTTTTGTCGGTGGGTTTGCGGCTCACGGTGAACCTCGTACTTTGAGCCGCCGGCCCCCACCTCTTTATATAGCGCAGTGCGACGGGGGCCCACCAACCATGTAGGGTTGGGCGCCCCCGATCAGGGCGCGAGACCAAGGCCCAATAGGCCGTTGGGCTTATTGGTCAGGAGATCAATCTAACACTGGCACAGCAGCTGGAGGTCGATTTCGAAACTGTCCTACATGATCTTGTCTTCGGAGATGGAGCGTATTACGACGACGGCGGCGCCGGGCTACTAGGTGCGTTCGTCGTCCCCGCGTCCGACGCGGCGGTCGCCGGCCTGGAGAAGCAAGCCTTCCACGCCACGGCGGAAGGGTGCGGCGTGACAGGGTGTGCGATCTGCTTGGAGGAATTCGAGGACGGCGAGGAGGTCACCGTCATGCCGTGCTCCCGCGGGCACGAGTTCCACCCCGGGTGCATCACCGAGTGGTTGGGGCAGAGCAACACGTGCCCTCTCTGCCGCCACGCTCTGCCTACAGACGTTGACGATGACGACCCTTAATTCCTAAGGTTTTGCACTGTTCGTTTGTCGAAGATGCGGCGTCGCATATAATTCTCGATCGAGTCTTGCGAATTCCATGAACAGTCGTGCTTGAGCAAATGAACCCAAGTGCAGTGGCACCTGGCACTGCGACATTGCAGACGGCAGCTCTGACCTGCTTTTTCGTCCACAAAGCGCAAAGAGACTTACCAGAGGTAGCTACGAGGGCGAGTCGCAGCACAAATAGATCGATCTGTTTAGGGCATCAAGCTGGCCGGAAGGGGGGATGAAAAACCTCTGGGGCAAGCATAAAATATGTAATCATGTAACTTCTTCTAGGTTATGTATAATGTTGGTTCTTAAGTTCTTTAGCCTGTACGTGCATGCAACCCTTTGTATTACGGGAAGTACTGATAGTAGTAGTCATTTTAGAAAAGCGTGAAGTTTTCCATCCTCACATGAGTTCACAACACTGAATTTTAATGCTTTATATCACGCAAACAGGAAAAATATCACCAAAACCATATCACTACTAAAAAATATTTTCACAACATAACATTTTCATCACTTATGATAATATATCGTCGCCCGGTTTGTAACAGATGAACTAGTGGTGAAAATGAATTTTTATTACCACCGTTGGATCGTGACATGAGGCATTGGTGAAAATGGCCCACGACCCATAAAAGCAACATCGGCCACATGACACTCCATGCCTCTTCGCAATTGCACACTCCCTCTCTCTTCCTCCACAACAGTGGTGGAGCATGAAGGCAGTTTTTTTTTTGCATGTGTGTGGGGAGCATTTTTTTTTTCGCTACCATGCCTAGGCATGTATTTCATTAAGTGAAAGTAGAAAACATTACAAGGCAGTCAGCAGTAACCAGGCTGTTACCGACGCAACTACCCAAAACAACTGAAAGAAGGAAAACAAAGCCTAATACTTGCTATTTGATACGTCTGAACATCCAACACTACATAACCATGTCCACTTTTTCTGCCTTCTTGCTTATTTCTAGTAGCAACGATAACAACAACTCTTCCTTCTTCAGGATAGCAAGCGCTAGCTCCCTAGTCCTCCATTAACAGGCTAACAACAACTCAATGCTTACAAGTTTAATTTCCATTATCATGGCCACCGACGCCCACTCATTCAAGCCACTGAAGGCTGCAACCGCACCTATACCGCTCTATGCAGAGGCGATGGCCTAAGAGCCAGATAGCATATTTGCATGGTATTGCAGAAGGCCGAAGATGGAGAGCACGTAGGCAAAGAACATATCGAGGGCATGGCCCTGCCAAGTTCTACTGAGTGGTCAGGAAATCCCTGCTGCCATCTTGGGTCCGTGTTGAGCCATGGCTTGTTCCTATTGCTAGTTTACCTCATGATGCTAAAAGTTTTAATTGACTATCATTCCAGCAAATAGGATTACGGGTACTCACTTCAAGTCAATGACCACAACTCAGGTGGGCAAGTTCTGCCACAAGAAACCTAATCATCCAAGCCACACTCAGTTCGCAAACAATCCTAGTTTTGACATGTTTTTAGGAAAAATATTTTAACATATAAAAGTTCAAATAAATACCTTGTCAAGATGTACTTCATGGATAATTCAGTTAAACTAATTTGATGATATAGAACTTAATACATTTTTTATACAGAAAATTTGGTCAGAATTGTAGAAGATGGACTTGTTAGTACCAAGGCAACTTTGAGGCACCCAACCTGGGCAATAGGACTGGAGGTGTGAAAAGAAAATCCTATATACCGCTCATCGACTCGGATGATGATGTCCTAATGTGACTAGCCGATCAATAAGGAGAGGCACCGTCCGTACCTCTTGCCTGAAGTTTTGTACTCTCTCGCAAGGTCGTTGGGCTGCTTATACAACCCATTGTCGGATTGCACGAAAAAAGTAAACCGCTTTTCTCGCACTCTAACCAAGTCCGAGTGCCACTTGCAATATTCGCACACCGACTCTCTACCCGGGCCGGGCCACCGGGCACAGGGCAGGATATATATACATATAAACAATCCTAACGCCTCCGTCCATCCATCCAGATCATCCGTCTGTGCTAGGGTTCGGGCTGTTCTCAGGAGCACTCCCTGTCCCTGACCTTCACCATCGACAATGGCGTGGCGCAGTCCGCAGACGGCTCTTTGCTCTGGACTCTTCATCCTCCATCCCCATCCGGGCAGCGCCACTTGCAAGAACAGGTAGAAGAAGAAGAAGAAGCAGAGTTTCTCGACGACGCGAGTGACTACGACGACGACGACGACCTAAGCATAGACATGGAGATCACTCAGACGATGATGCAGCACCTCCGAGATTTGATAGCTCGTGAACGACAAGGAACGCACTGCGTCGGCGCCGGCGAGGAAGGTGCCGTCTTCGTCCCCGCGTCCGGCGCGGCGGTCGCCGGCCTGGAGAAGCAAGCCTTCGACGCCACGGCGGAAGGGTGCGGCGCCATCACAGGGTGCGCGATCTGCTTGGAGAACTTCGAGGACGGCGAGGAGGTCACCGTCATGCCGTGCTCCCGCGGGCACGAGTTCCACCTGGACTGCATCACAACGTGGTTAGGGAAGAGCAATACGTGCCCTCTCTGTCGCCACGCTTTGCCCACAGACGACGTCATGGACGATGATGACCTGTAAATCCTACCCAAGGCGGTTTTGCATTATTCATTCGTTGTAACATAGCAAACGCGGCTTCGATCAGTTTATCAGGGGAAGCATCAATAAAATATGTGTAATCATGCAAATTGTCGTACGTGCAAACCTTTGTATTAGGTGAAGTACTGCGAGCAGTACTCATTTTTAATAAAATGGAGAAGTTTTTCCATACCCACATGGGTCTGCATCACTGAATTTTAATAGAAAAATACTAAGTTTTTTGTAATCATGTACTTTTTGTAAGTTAATTATGTCTAATGTTTGTTCTAAGTTCTTTTGTTAGCTGTACGTGCAACCCTTTGTAATACAAAAAATACTGATACTAGTAATCATTTTAATAGAGCGGCAAGTTTTCCATTCCCACGTGACTTTACAGCACTGAATTTTAATGCTTTTCTTATGCAAAAAGGAAAATATCAGCACCACCAAATCACTACTAAAAAAATATTTTCACAATAGCACATTGTAAGGAAAATGGACGCTAGACTCATTTACTTTGGATTTTGGTGTTTGATGGCCAACACAACCAAATTGGACTAATGAATTTGCAAATGATTATTTTGTAGTTCAATAGGATGTAAGACGTGACTTGGACGAAGGTGACGTGATGATCCGATGATCAACACCATAAGCAAGACCCTTGAAGCACAAGAGAAGACCCAAGATATCAAGCAAAGTCCAAGCACGAAGATAGGAACCAAGCCGTACGCAAGATCGTGAAGAAACGAGCTCACAGAAGTGACCGGACGCTGGCGGAAAGTGACTGGACGCTCCGATCAAGAGGCTCGGCAACAGCAGGCGTCAACAGTAGCGACCGGACGCTGGACCGGACGTTGGCGGCAAATCGACTGGACACAGGACTGCAGCGTCCGATCGAGTACAGAAAGGTTCCAGAGCGGCGAAATTGCGACCGGACGCGTCCGGTGGCATGTGACCTGACGCTGGCAGCGTCCGATCAGTTGATCGCGGCTCGAACGGTTGGGATGACTGGACGTGTCCGATCAGGACGACAGCAGCGTCCGGTCAGTAGCAGAAAAGCAGGATTTCGTCCCCAACGGATACTTTCTCAGTGAGGCTTATAAATACAACCCCCAACAGGCCAAATGAAAGCGTGTGGAGCTGAAGAAACATATCAAGGGTGTTGATACACCATTTTAGTGATCTCCACTTGCATAGTGCTTAGTGATTCATTAGGTGATTAGCGTAGGTGCTTTGCGAAGTGTTTAGGTTGATTAGACCATCGCTTATGCGCTTACTCTAGGTTTAGGCCTAGTGTTTAGTGAGGTTTGCATACCTCTTACCACTTGGTGCTTGCGTGCACCATTGTTGTACATCGGAGGCGCTTGTAGTCTTACGAGATCACACCAACGACGTTTGTGGTGTGGCCGCCACCGTGTACCAGAGGGAACAAGGCCCGCAGCGTTTCGGCCTGAAGCTTGATAGTGAAGACGGCGGGGTGCATCCGGGAGAGGCTTGCCGAAATGCACGTCGGAGATCCACTTGCGCGTGGGAAGGCCCGAGGCTATCCACGGAGTTACCCGACCGGGTGCTTGGCCCTTGCGAGGGATTCCCTACGAGGGGCTCCAACGAGGACTAGGGGGAAGCTTGAGCGCTTCTCGATACCTCGGTAAAAATACCGGAGTCGTCGACGGGAGTTTGCATATCTCTCTACCTTGCTCTTTAGCTTCCGCATTTACATTGATTGTATTACTCCTTTTGCGGTAGAGATAGCAACACATTAGCAAAACCGTAGTTGCATATTTAGATAGTTTATCTTTTACATAGATTTTGTTAAGGTTAGAAAAAGAGGCCATAGTTTAGAAGTATATTTTTAAGTTGCCTAATTCACCCCCCTCTTAGGCGTCACGGTCCCCTACAAGTGGTATCAGAGCCGGTTGACTCAATTTGGACCTTTGGCTTAACCACCGTTGAGCCGATGCTATTTAGAGTGGTTGGGATGGATACCTCTAGGCCTACACACTTTGACGGCACTAACTTCCCTTACTATAAAGCTAGAATGGCTTATCACCTTGAGGCGGTTGATTTAGGTGTTTGGAGAGTCACTCGTGATGGGATGAAACCCATTAAGAATCCCGATAAACGCACGAAGAGTGAAGAAAAGGAAATTCACTTCAATGCTAGAGCTAAAAATTGCTTATTTGAATCATTTAGTATAGATGTGTTTAACCAAGTATTCACTTTAAATATGGCACATGAAATTTAGTTAAAACTTCAAGAGCTCCATGACAGCACATCTAATGTCCGTGAGTAAAAACATTGTCTAGCTAAACAAAATTATGATTCATTTATAATGAATGATGATGAGCTTGTTCATGATATGTATTCTCGTTTGAATCTAATTATCAATGAGCTCCATTCAATAGGATTAACAAAGCTAGATGATGCGGACATCGTGAGGAAGATCATCTCCGTGCTACCACAAGAAATATGCAAGCATCATCACCATTCTTCACAACATGGAGAACTTGAGCACCATGACCCCGAACATAGTCATTGGCAAGATAATGACATTTGAAATGTCGTGTAAGATGGGTCAAGATGAAGCCTCTTCATCGAGCAAAGGCAAAGCTCTCGCATGTAGCGAGAAAAAGAAGATGAAGGGCAAGCAAGTGGAGACAAGCTCAAGCTCAAGCTCCTCAAGTGAAGATAAAGAAGAAGATGAGAACGATGATGATGATGATGAAGATTCAAGTGAAGATGATCAATCTTCCTCCTCCACCTCCGACCTTGATGAAGAATCAATCAAACTAATCAACAAGGTGGAGAAGATGATCCAAAGGCTCAATATCAAGGGTGTGCCCATCTAAATCCAAGATCTCATTTTTACCAATCAAAGAAATGAGCAAAGAAAGAGAGGATGCTATGGATGCAGTGGGTTGGGGCACTTTGTGGAAGTTTATCCAAATAAGCCCACACCCAAGACAAAGAAGAAGGCATGCAAGAACCAAGCCCTCACATCAATAAGGTCATGGGATGATTCTTCAAGTGAAGAAGAACACCATCACAAGAGACGAGGGCGCAAGCACTCATCATCAAGCTCTTCTTGTATGTGCCTTATGGCACGAGGTAACAAAAGCTCATCCTCTAGTGAGAGTGATAGTGATGATGAAATGCCTTCTTATGATAAAATTGTGCAACAAAATCTTAATTATGCTAAAGTTTGCACTAGTCAACAAAAAAAGCTCGAAAAATTAAAAAAAAAGCTAGATAGTTCACAAGAAGCATACAAAACTCTGCTTGAACAATATGAGAACTTTGCTAATCTCAATATTGAACTATCTACTAAAATTGAGAAACTTAAGGCTAGTGCAACAACAAATGCATGCACAATCAATGATGAGCAACTTGTAAAGAAAAATAAAAAATTAAAAGAAAAGTTAGCTAGCTCACAAGATGCTTATAAAAGTTTGCTTGCTAAAATGGAAACCATGTGAAAATATTGTGATGAGCTAACTAATAAAGTTGCTAATCTTGAAGCCGTTAGTACAACCCCCACCAAGGCATCTAAAAAGAAAAGTTCTATCTTTAACATGTCTAAAAAGGATGGCTCTACTTCTTGTAATGATTTATGTTTAGACTCATCTTTGTGCAACCAAGTTTGTGTTGAGAAAGTTGTTGTAGATACATGCACACAAGAGGTTGCAAAGGAGAATGAGCAACTCAAGGAAGAAGTAGCTCGCCTCACCAAGGACTTACTCAAGTGAAAGACAAGGCGAAGCAAGCTCAACTTCATCAAGATAACACCGTCAAGGGAGTGAAGAAGCTTGATGAAGGACAAACCGTGGTTTGCTACGTATGCCACAAGGAAGGTCACAAGTCCTATGAGTGCAAGGTGAAGAATGGGGGAGGAGCAAAGAAGAAAGAGAAGAAGCAAACAAGCAAGCTCTCTAACACCTACACCAACAAGGTGGACAAGAAGGCCTCCACACCATACTTGTTAAAGAAGAAGAAAAATGACAAGGTGGTGGCCATCAAGGTGAACAAGCAAGCCAACAATGGGGTCAAACGCTTTTGGGTACCAAAGGAAATCATTTCCAACATGAAGAGCACCAAGAAGGTTTGGATCCTGAAAGGAAAGTGAGAAGTCCGATGGACATCGGGGAATTTGGAGACTTGGCGAAGTATGGGTGCATTTCATGGGATGCATCATGATGAACAAAATCATTGCCAAGTGGGTTAGTGAATACTATGGACCCAAATTCCCCTTTCCATGTTAGGTAACTAGATTCAATTTCCTTGAAGTAGCATCAATTTGCTTTTCCTATAAGTGGTATTTCTTACAAATTGGTATCTTTAAGCATCTAGTTACTTTTTATGCCTATGTTTCCATTTGCATGCTTATATCTTTTGTCATGCATACACTAGGTATATCTTATGGTAGGCTTGCTTGGTTTCATTCTTATTCCTTGGAGCAATTCTACATGGTTTAAAATTGTTTAGGAGCACGGCACATAGCTTGTCTTTCGATTGTTCATCTAATATGTGCCAAAATCCAAATTATAGATAATTTCTCCCAAATATCGCCTTTGAAAATGACTCTCACATTCATGTGATGTCATCTTTCAAGTGGTATTTTTTATTCTAAAATTTACGTGCATGTTTCCTACAAGTATTCCATACTTGTGTGCACAAATTTAGGGGGAGGTTACTCTACAAGTTGGATGCTTTGAGACTAACACTTTTTTCAAGCTTATCATATGTGTAGTAGTCTCATTGCAAGAAAAATAGAGTCCCCGGAGTTAAGCATCATACTTCAAATATCCATCACCTATTGCAAGTGGTAGAAATCAAATTGGTTTGCACATGTGGTATTTCTAAACCGATATCATCATGTTGATTTCATTTTGATCTTTATATGATTTCTCCATGCATTATATAGATTAAATTCCCTTGTGCAAGAATTTGCCAATTATGCATATGATTTTCCTTCTACCATATGTATGCATATATTTAGGGGGAGC